ACACTCTGGCTGTGTGCAGGGACAGTGACATGGCGCTGGTTCCAGAGCCATTGTGCAATAACCTGGGGCAGGAGCCACATTCTCATGAGCAGCCTTCAGCAAGCTTACCCCCAGGGAAGGAGAAAATGGATCATGGGAATGCTAAACCAGAGGATCAGACTTCTGGTGGTGATCTGATGGAACCACCAGAAAAGACTCAGAAATCCTCAGAGAACTTAAACATTTCAACTCAACCTGCTTTTTTAAATTTTATAAGCCAGTTAAAGCTCGAAGATTTTAACTGTTTCATGGAATTTATGAAAGATGTACCGAAAAACACTGTCAAATTTTATATTCATGAAGAGGAAGAAAGTGTTCTCTGCAGAGAAATCAAAGTAAGTCTGTTTCAGTTGAACCTCTCTCTGGTGTCAGAAGAGTGTCTTTTAAATCCAATTGAAACTGGACTCRCTTTCACTGTGAAAGTGAATTGTGAAAGTAGGCTGTCCTGTCCCATTTCTTCTTGAGCTTTTGAGGTAGTCTTGCTTATATTTAGCCTTTACGTAAGTCTTTTTCTKAGAGCTGGAAAACAGAACAGGCTGTAGGTTGGTCCTTTCTGAAGATCCTGCCAGGGGTGGCCTTACAGAAAAACAAGGGAAGAAATGTGATAGCTTACATTTGAGAAAGAAYGTATGAAAAGTGACTGTGGGTGCCTTTGGGTTTTTTGCCCTTYGCCTCTAAGTAATRGTAGAGAGAACTTTGAGMAATCATTGTTATTCTGTAGATAAATGTGTAAGATTGAAAATTGAAAACTCTTGGCTTTTCCTGAAAACTCAGGCAGTTTGCTACTGTCAGTTGGCCATGTGTGTGTGATTTGATAGGAATGACTGACTTGCTGAAACAGCTGACCTCTGTGTTGCTGCATCCTTCTGATTAATGTATGGCACAGATAAGGAAGCCAGTCCCTCTGGGATTCATTGAAGTGCAAAACCTTCTTGCTGTGGGTGTTATCTGGGGATTGTTTTTACCAAAGTACCTACTGACATTYTCCTTGTCTTCTCTTTCTGTGGTGGTAGGAATATCTTAGAAAGTTAGGTAATACYGAATGCCATCCAGAGCAGTTCCTTAAAAGAAGAGCTGATTTAGATAAACTGTTGATCATTATCCAAAATGAAGACATTGCCAACCTCATCCATAAGGTATGTCCCACGTAAGTAAACGTGTGTTACAGAAAGCTGTTGTCAGTAGTGAGATGAACTCATTTGGAGAAGGCTGCACAGCCTTTAACAGTGCCCCCTGTTTAGCTGCTTTTTTTAGACTCAGAATGGTTGTGGTAAAAATGTTCTTGTTCCTACATTTACCCATAACTTCTTCCACCTCAATGCATGTGCTAATGTATATTTATTCTTAGTAGTTGTAAAGCTGAACACAAGACTGACTAGTTCTGCTTCTGGTTCTGTGATGCTCTAACAGCAGGGGAAGGCATTGACCTGAGCTATTCCTAACAGCTGGGGCTTAAGACTCATGCTGGACAGAAATTAAAATTATTTCAAGTGCTCAAGGTCCATTTATCTTATTCTTGTAATGTTCCTGAGAGAGCACTTCCGCAGGCAAGAAAAGAAACAGTAGTTTTTTGAAACCGTATTTTGAAGATCGGTGTTTGGCATTAGTAGGTAGGAGTTTTGTAGTTCTTTTTTCTGTGTGACCTCTGGTTTCATCTCTGATTTTGAATGTTTTAAACAGATCCCTGGCCTGGTGACCCTGAAAAAGCTGTCCTGTGTCAGCTTTGCCGGGGTTGATAGTTTGGATGATGTGAAAAACGGCACTTACAATGAACTGTTTGTGTCTGGGGGTTTTGTTGTGTCAGATGAATCTGTCCTTAATCCAGAGTCCATCACTACAGGTAGGTGTGATGCTTCCAGAAGCCTTAGACCTAAAATCCTGACATTTCAGTACCTAAGAAAGAGGTCCCATACTCACCACAGTGAAAGATCAGGTCTTCCAGTTTTTGTGATGTTCTTTGAGAACTTCAGCTAATTCAGTCTCTTTCTCACGCCACTGGCCTTGAAGAACAGGGAGATTTTGTTTCCTTTTTATTACATTGTGTACTTATGTCTGTAGAGCCTTTTATTCTGTACTCYATCCACAAATATGCTGTGTATACTTCTTTATTTGAAATTGAAGAGTTAATTAAGTTACAGTTTTAAAAAATATTTTAGCAAGGCATAGCATGTATAACTGAGGTCAGCTTTTAAATACCAGTGCTGGGCACATGATGTGCAGAAAAGCAGCTCAGTTTTATGACACTGTTGGCCAGTCTACTTGCAAAAAAATCTGAAGTGAGTGGCTGCTGTCTGTAATTGTGTGACTGCTGTGATGGACACAAACCAGCTTTTTATATACACTGAAGCAGTATGTTCAGTCTGCATACCACAGAATGTAACTTTTATTAAATATCTCCATAACAGATAAACTAAAACAGTTCCTAAAGTTTCTGGAGGATCTCAATGCCCCAGATCAGAAATGGCAGTGGAAAGTCCACTGCAGAATACAAAAAAAACTGAAGGAGCTGGGGAGGTAAGTAAGGTTCTGTAATACCAGCTGTTAAAGTGCTTCAGCTTTCTTTATGCCCTTCAAAGCACACTTAAATTGAATTTACTCTTATGTTTGTCTTTTGATAATTAGGCTGACCTTAAATCAGTCGTTTCTAATAGTGAACTTTCCCCTCACTGCAGGATGAATGCCAATGCCCTGAACCTGCTCACCCTTCTGAACACCTATCAGAAGARGCACTTGGTTGAGATTCTGTCTTACCATAAGTGTGATTCTCAAACTCGAAAYGCTCCAGAATTAGACTGTCTCATCAAGCTTCAGGCTCAAAACATACAACAGAGACATGTTGTCTTCCTAACAGGTAAACCCTACATTTGTGAATACCTCTCTCCCTTTTGTRTTAATAAGTGCTAAATATTAATACAAAACTTTCTTTTATGTATTTAGAAAAGAATCTCAAAACCCTCTCGAGTTACCTTGATAATGGCATAGTGGTTGCTGCTGTTGATGACTTTATGCATAACTTTAAAAGCCTCGTTGGGTATCACAACTCTGAACAGAACCACCTTTCTCCCTGCAGTGCTGGCCAAAGACAATCAGGTAATGTCAAACCCACTTAAACTTTCCTTYCCAAACTGCATGTGTAGAGTGGAGGTCCTGGGACAGTGTGCCTTGACTCTGGTCAACGAACACTGCAGCTGGCAAGGAAAACCCAACTCTCAAGCTACTCTTTTTCTATTTGAAATGATGGGGGAAAAAGCAGCTGGGATGGAGCATCAGAGACCTTAAATACAGAAGCACAGGCTAACATGATATTTGAGGCACTAGACTAGGAACAGGATAAACTTCTATCTTCTTTATCTACTTCTTYACCTGTATCTGTCAGTTAGAGATGTCAGTAATTGTACTCCTTTAATTGTCAGATCAAATACTCACCTACTGTGTAACTTTAGATGCTGTTTTGACATTGTCCCCTTTGGAGCTGGGAGTTGGGATTTCCCAATGTGCAGAAGTTTTTAGCACCGAGTAACTGGACACTCCCACAGAGGGTTAAGTGTGTGTGTTGGGTAAGTGAACATGAGTGGCAGAAGGCCAAGACTTAAGTGCTCTTGGAATGGCAGACCTGAAGTGTAACTCTGTGAGTAGTGGGTGGCCTTTTTAACCACAGTTTGTATTTCAATAGAATAGGACTTTCTCTCTCTTTTAATGTAGTTCTTGTAGAAAAGGATGAAAAGGATGAGGAGGACATGTCTCTGGATTCAGGGGATGAATTATCAGAAATAGAAATCTGCAGTGATGCCTCTAAGTATGATACTCGCGTGGAAGCTTTGCAGACAGAGGCCAAGGGCYCACATGGAGTAGATGCTAAAGCAAGCTGCTTATCAGTTACAGAGTTATCTCCTGAAGCACAAACTGGCCTTGTGGAAAAGACTTACAGAGCTGACTTGGAAGAGAAACAGCCAATTACTCCAGTTCCTACAACATACTCTGCTGAAGGAGAAAATCACAATTCAGTTGATCAAACTCCTTTCAGTAACTTCCAGGTTTAYAGCAGACAATTAAACATGTCCCATCAATTCAGCCACTTTAATGTACTCACTCATCAGACTTTTCTGGGAACAACATGCCCRATTTCTTCTGCAAATCAAAACCAAGAAGGGAGCAATTATTTTCTATCTGCCTACAGTCAGAGCATGGATACAGAAAAGTCATCATCACCTGGGGGCTGGGAGAGCACCTATGATTCTTCCAGGCCATATTCAGAACAGAAATGAACTCTTAACTCTCTTTTTCTAAGTTCCTGTGGACTTCTCTGTTTCTAAAATGTTGGATTAACGATTTCTATTTTATTCTGGAACAAAATGTTTCTTGTTCTTGTTATCTCAGATGTTTTCATGTTCTATTTAAATTCCCAATGGCCTGTCCCTGTTGGAACCATCTGAAAATTTAAATAAATACATATATTTTTTAACGTTTACTGTACTTGAATTACTTGTTTGTTGGCACTTTTAAGTTTCTACATTTGTATTTTACCTGTTACCTAGGCTTCAGTTTGAGGTCTGTTTAAYGTAAAGCTGAATGTTTGCCTAAAATATGTGAAAAAGCCAGTTGTTTTCTTTTTTTAACTGTAAGAGTATCCAAGTCACATTTCTTTACATAAATATTAAAATTAATGTATTTATTTGACATTGACACAAATTTTGTACAATGTTTTTACATAGTTCGAAGGCAATGTACTTATTTTCATGACTATATACTGGATTTTGGCTAAATACCTCAATTAGAGTAACCAGTGGTGCAGTTCCATTACAAAAAATCAAATAAACTTTTAATGCACAAGGGACTTGCTAACACATYGCTTTGTCTGTGGTTTTTATATTGTTTGCAAAGTACTGGAGGAGCACCCAAACTTGGTTTCATGAACAGCAATTATCTGTGTGTCTCACTTGGTGCTCTGTGCTATTGCATCAGTGTCCTYACAGCTTTTATCTGGCCTTGGTAATTACTCTCATGAGAGAAGGACAAACCTGGGTTTAATGACTGTGGGAGTTCAATTTGCATTAGAAAAACCTCAATCCTCTCCCACTTCAACTTAATGATTCCTAGGGCTTTCAGGCTTTTTTTGGTTTTGWTTTTAGCACTTGAGTAAGTACAGTTTTATCTGTTCTTTAATCTTGTCTTTTTAATTTCACTCCAGTGAGTTATCGATCTTTCCTCCCCAGCGATTCTCTTACATTTCACCATCCTCTGCCTCAATCTTCAGGAAAGCAGCAGCTCCAGTGAGCAGTTGTGGGGTGTCCAGGCAAACCTTGTTGTTTCACTGCTGGTTTTGCTACAGACAACTTGTAGTGCTCAACTTCAGGGTGTCAGAGTCTTGTGTTTGGGGTTTTCCTRTTTGTAATTTGATTTTAGTGCATTTCTGTGGGATGTGCTGTTTGGTTCTGGGCAATCATTTGAAACTATGGAACTCTAAATTCATAGAATTAGTTGGGAAAAAATTATTAGTTAAAAGGGGCAGCTTTTAAAAAACAAAACAGACTTGCCTAAAGTTGGTTCTTTCCCTCTRTGAACAGTGGATTGATTTATTCAAATGAAGAACTAGTACCAGACTAGTGTAGCATTTGTTATCCTTCCCCCCAAACATGGAAAATAATCTTTTCCCTCCCAAAAAATACCTCCCTTGTATCCATGAATTGTACCAGATTGTGTGATGAAYTGTGGTCTTAAAATCTCAGAGTCCTTGAGTTTAATATTCACTGTGTAAGCCTAAAAGGGGGCTGMAATTTTAAATACAAGCAGTTTATGTAGTTAAAAACAAGCCATTCAGAATACATCTTTTTATTTATGAAAATTTATACACTGAGTTCTATAAAATCCATGTAACAGTTTTCTTCCATGTTTTTGGTGGTTTATATTAAATTGACAGRTCTTCAGGTAGCATGAAAACAATTCAAAACAGACAAACCATCATTAGTTTAATGWATCTTCAGTATAAAAAGTAACATGACCCTGTAGTCTTATCAAAATTCTCATAATTTAATTTTCATAAAAAAGCTAGAGAGGGTTCATAATTAATGAGAGTAGCAAAGTGCTGTGCATTTCCATTTTAAGAATTCAGAACATTCACATGTACCTCTTAAAAGGGTGGAATGAAGGTCTCTTGAGCTACAATGGGAATCAGAGTGTTCTCCAACTCCTTCTGCTTCTGCAGGAGGCCCTGAAATAAAGATAATTGTGAATGCTCTGTCTTCCTCATGCAGCCTGCACTAAAGAATTGTCATTGTTTCATAGTTCAAAACAATTTACTCGTTAAGGCTCTATGGTTTTTAAGTACACAGCTTCAGAAAAAACAGTACAACCTCATACACTCAGGGGAGAGGGAACTTAACAGAAGCYTTCAAGTATGACTGGAGTGGAGGCCAGGCCCGGTTCCAGGGATGCCMATCCAGAGGAAAAAAGGGGCTTTTGCACTGTATGAAATGCAACTTTCTCATTCCTTTGTGCCTGTCTCTGCCTTTGCAGTAGTGTATTCTTGTATGAAGCTGAACCCAAAACCTTGATAGGCTTGGCTTTTAGTCATAACACAAATTAYAGCCTAAGAGCAAGGGCAGCATTGCCGTTTGAACCAGAGCAGTCAGACATTTCAGGATACACAGATTTACTGTCAAAACGTTCAAGGTTCCTGCTTTGTTAAKGGTAGAGATAATGATAAAGCTATGTCACACATGTGCATCAATTAAAACTAAATCTTTTTACTGTAATTGACAGGATCATATATATTGAKACAACTGGTCTCATTTATTTTAGACTTGTCAGAAATAGTTTGGTACTGTGGAAGTCTTTTTTTTTTTTAAAAAAGTAATTATTTTTCTCAGTTACAAGGCCTTTCACAAAGATAAGAGGTACAGGCTGCTGGCACAGCTCAGTGCAGACTTAATGCAAGGCAGCAGCTCCTRCTGCTGGAATTTAGGCTCAGATTCCTGGTGGCACCCTAGGAAAGCAAAGCAGCCTGTAAGACTCCACTTTGGCTCCTTCAAAGGTGGGCAACTGCCTGCTTTTCATCACTTGATCAATTGCTTTCTAATTAATCAACAGGATCTGCTTATATCTGCTATAATGGGTCAGTGTAGTTTTCTGCCTCTGTGTGGATATTTTCTTCTATATCAGAGTATTTCTTGCTTTTAGGAGCATGTCCCAAAACCAAGTAATAAAATAAACTGCCCTAAATCAACCTAAGAGCTGAGGAACAAGTAACACGAAAGCTGGCAGTTGAGTGTTTATCATAGGGGTTGCCAAGAGAAAGGYAATGTGAAATAGCTCCCAGGGAGCCCTAGGGGTGTGTCCCCCCAGCCATTGTCACCTGCAGCCGGTGGCAGTGCAGCCGCTGCCTCAGGAACAATGGGGTGCTCTGCTGTGTACTGACCTGGGGCTGAGGGGGTGTTCTCCTCATTCTTAACCTTTGGCCCTTCTTTTGCACAAATAATTCACTTTGCTGGGCTTATCCACTGACTTTTGATTTCAGTGAGGGAAGTGAGTGGCTAGTTCCTATTCCTGCTGTGACCTGAGACATAGGAAGAGATTTGCTGGCTGGCAGCAAATGCAATGGCCGACTCACCCCTGCTTTGCCCTCTGTTTTCCCTGGGTCAGCCAGTTCCCCTGGGCTCTTACTGCACCAGCTCAGCTGTATTTATCTATCACTGGCTGAGTGTGGAGTTCAAAGACTCAAGACTGGTCAAATATTATGTGAATTCCCCCAGACAAAACAACTGTTAAATATATTATARATATAGATATGTATGTAGTCTGAAACGATCAACCCACTACCTATATTTGCATATACAAATGTTTAAAAAAGACTAAATTATSTTCTGAAACAGAAAACTCTGCTTTTTGTCTGTATTTCAGACAAAATACTGCACTATTTATATTTTCTCAGTGAAGTAACTGATGCAAAACAGGTGTCATCTGTACATCAGGAGGAACACACAATACTTAGGTATACAAGAGACACTGAARTTAAACAGTTCATGTCGTAAATGCCTTCTGCAGCTGTCTTGCAGAACCAAGATCTGGTGARAGACTAATCTTACTGTTACTTTTTAGCCACTGCAAAAACGACCGMAGGTTCCTGTCCTTGCTAAGCTTGCCAACTTTAATCCTGTTTAAATATGCATGGCTTTTGTATCCTCAGCAAGCACAAGGGTCAARCTGTACTTTGAATCTGGCTTCACTCTTAACCAGAATGCCACTGGAAATGAAGTGAAATACAGAACATGGACAAACCCATGTAGGAAACATTGTCCAAATGAGGAGAACCATTGCAGGCTGTGAATAGCACAGGGGCCCAGCTGCTACTGCAAACTGTAGCTGCTTGCCAAGCAGGRAGCCAGCCCGAGGCTAAGAGTGGTAACTGTAACTGCTTCACAAGCAAGGACCRAGCCATGGCCAGCTGAAAGTGAGAATGAGCCGAAAACTACCCAAGAATCAGMAGAAAACAGCAAAGATGCAGAGTCACAGGTTCTGCTAGAATAGATTTGGAACTAGAGTGGAATCAATGAAATAAGTGTAGGTGGACCATAAGCCTAACGTGAACATCTCTGTGTCATAATGGAAGATGTAGTTATTTGTGTTTGTTAGATTGAAATGGGGTGTGGYGTTTGTAAACTGAAGATAAGAAAACCTCAAGTTCTGTAAAACCACAATCCCAGATCTGGGGCTCCAAGACAAGCAACTGGCAGGGGTGGGTGTCAGATCTGTAGTGAAAGCTGATGTGCACTGAACTGCAGTGGGATGTGCAGATGGGGTGCTGACCCCTGTGTGCTCCTGGCAGCACTAAAGGTGTCTTTACAGTACCTGCTGGGGAGTAGATTCCTTTGGATCAGAAGCCTGAATACAAAATAACAGCTGTAGATATTTAACAAAAATGTTAATGAGCAGTGGGGAAGACCAGATCCAGTGAAACCAACCTGGAAACTCAGAACTGGCAGCCTTTCAGGGCTCTTGGGTCWCAACTTTTCTTACTGAGCTGAGGAGAGTTGTGAGCCTTTGCACAAGGAATTAAGCTGCTGCTAAATCACTGTGTGTACACAGCAGTGTTTCTGTCTTTGTAAAGCATAACAGGTAATCAATAGCATTAACTACTGTTAATTTTGTTGTACTTCAGTCTGTCAGATTTTTTCCCTTTAGTTTATTTGACATAAATATGACATTTTCCTCTCACAAGGCAGAGAAAAATCCTGCTGCTATCAATAAGATACTTTTCGATTGGACTGATTCAAAAGCAACTGACACAGGCTTATTTTCAGTGTTCTTCACAAAGMAAAAGCAAGCCTAAAGTAAATATTTCTTTGTCTTGCAGTCCTGTCAGGCCATTTAGAAGCATAAAACAGAACTGGTGTGCRTGTCCAGACCTGTGACTTGAGTTGCTGTGGGCCACACCTTGTGCCAACAGGTGGAGTATCAAATTCACTCAGGCTTTAATAACAAGATGCCATTACCAGTAAATGACTACAAAGAGAACAACGTACACAAACACACAGAGGGTTTTATCTCAGGAGCTCCTGTGTCTGTGGCATTAAACCAATTTTCATTTTCTATTCAGAAAACCTGGCTGATAGACAAATCCTGAATTTTCTTTTTACATGCCAACAAGTAGCAGCTGTCTTGGAAGGATTTTATAAGTGTTCCCATTTCCACTTCGCAAATTACAGAATTTTTCCAGGCCTGACATGAGATCACCCYACCAATCCCACTGCTCTGTCATGACCTGGGAAATGCAGGAACCTCAGTGACAAGGTTCTAGTGCTGTGTTACAACTCTGCTCTTTTGAAATGGRTACATTCCCTATAAACAACCCTAACTATGGAACCTGGACACCAAACAATGATATTACTCTTTGTTTCAAGTTCGCTCAGGCACTCCACGGCTTCATATCTAATTTAAGGACTAAGGAGTCTATATTCTCTCTCTAAGGACTGTCCAAAGGTGGAAGCAACACATAAAAACTAGTAAAATGGAACAAAAAAAACCAGAGGGCAGGGCCCAAAACATAAATCATATGATGGAAATTGAATTAAAGATTATGAAGTGGTAATTGTTATTTCAGTATATATATACACATGCACATTCATCCAAAAAATTTTTGCTTACCTGTCGTAGTTTTGACAATCCTTTGAGAATTTCTTGTTGTCTCTCTCTGATTGTAACTACATCAGGATTTAGTAGATGATCTCTAACGTGATCTGAGCTAAAAATCTGTCGTGTCATTTGGTAAGAATCTAAAAGTAAACATATATCAAGTCAGTTAACAATACTCTTTATTAATTTTCTTATAATTTTGAAGCAGTAGGTTTTGAAACTTTGTTAAAATCAGGGGTTGGTTGCTAAGACTATAGTTTCTTATTTTTAAGTCAAACCACACTGGGATTCCTAAACCCCAATCTCTACACAGTAATACAAGTGCAGTCATACTTTATGAAAGATAAAAAGAGAAAAAACATTTTTTTTTCACTTTTCTGATTTTTAGAAGTTTTCTTCTGTGGTTTGTTTCTTTTTAAACAGAGAGTATAATTTGGTTGTACAGCCTTTTTGTGCACTGCTGTGACACACACAGATTACTGCAAAATTCAGTAAAAAGCAAATACCAAATTGGCTAAAAGTGTGGCATTCCAATGTAAATCCCTGTAACATTTCTTCTCCTCTASAGGAATCATTTCAGTACCATTGCAGGGTCGATGCTGGGGCTCATGTGTTGAAGGTCTGCTCAGTGGTGCCTCTGGATCAAGGTAATAAACCTCGTGTGTCCGAACGTAGGGAACGAACTGCGCCGAGGGCGGCCTCGCAGCCTCCACCACGGGAGCAGGGGAGCTCCTCTGCTGGGCAGCTGCCTTGGTGGTTTTCTCTCTTCTACTGAGGGGGTTATGCACCAGGAAATTAGAAGCCTGGATCTGTCTTTGTTGGACTTGTAGTAGTCTGTTCCTAACTGCTGGAACGGGTGGCGATTCAGATCTGTAATGGAACAACCGCAGCTTTTTTATAACTTAATACAATATTAATACAATAACTTATAACAAACAATACTTAAGTAATGCGATTAATTTTCTCAGATAGCAGAGACAAAGAATGCTTGGAGSACAGGATTTTTGTTCATTTTTTCTGCTTTTATACCAGCAATCTGTCTGGTCTCGTGTATTTTTAATAGCAGACAATTAGATAAATCTAAACTCTTCTAAAAATCAGGAAAGAAATGCGTGTGTATTCCATTAATGCAGAGTAGTGACATACCTTTCTTCATTCAAGTGGTTCTTATGAAATTGTTCTTCCTAGGAGAAAACCAAGAAATCAAAAGTAAAACCAAAAATCTCCATGTTTTTTATATTAAAAGYTTTAATTTTTCAAAGCAAGTTTGTTCTGTAATTCCAAAAGGACAGTTTGACCTGGGTTCAGGAGAAAGGTATTTATCAAAGATTTGCATTTAAGARACTTGTACTATCTATGAAGTAAATAAAACAAATTACAGCAGGATTTGCTCCAATTTTCTGTCTTTGGCTGCTCTAAGCACTAGCAAAAACACTATGTACATTTTCCTATGTCCTTGGAACACAGGAGTTTATAAACCTGAAGGGTTCAATTCAAGATATTAAAAGAAAGGTCCAGAGTTTTGGTWTTTAAAGATGTGAGGAAATTAGGTGTTTGTGCAGAGTATGACCAGCAAGAGACAGGGGAAGGGGAGAAGACAAGAATGTATTTTATAGTATTTACTTTAAATGATTTTTTCCCAGCCACAAGCTCTCCTGATATATGCTTACTGCAAATGGAGAAAGACTCCACTAAGAAGGATGCACTTCTGTGACAATGGAGTGCATCCCCAGTAATCCACATTCTCTGCAGAAATAAATACTGTTTTCTTGAGCAGGTCCTGCTGTACCTCACCTGTCAGCACAGCACAATGACTGGGCAAAAACAAGCAGGTCAGTGATGTCACTGTGTCCTGCACACTGCTTGAATCAAGCTCCCTGTTTACATAAAGWATTCATGTTAGTGAAGAAATGAAAAGGTATCAACACTTGGGAAGATGGAGGTAACAGCAGAAACTCAGTCACAAAACCTGGAGGTGGTCTTCTGCTCCTGATGGACAAAGCAGTGCTGACACAAGGATGAGCAGTAGGAAAATTTCAGTTACAGAACTGAATTCCCACCCAGGTGAAACTGTGAGGAACAAGAGTCTTAACAAACACCTCATTGTTCTCAAAGACCAGTGACCCACCTTTCTGCCCCTGTGGCCCTTATTCTTCACAGCAGTTTCTTCCCGAGGTGACAGAGACCTGGCTGAGTGTCCCCCCCTTCTTGCACTGAGCTGCCCGGGGCTGTTCCTTTCCACCAGCTGCAGCAGCTCCATTTGTCGGCGCACTTTGTTYTCTTCTCTTTGCTTTTGTAGTGGTTTAGGGTACCTCTCCGAGGCTGGAATGTATCTCTTCCCAGGCTTGTTTATGTTCCAGTCAGGTCTTTTGCTGTATTTTTCTRAAGATTTAATTTGTCTTTCTTTTCTTGCATATTGCTCATACAGATCAGTGTAAATGGCCGCAGTCTCTTTTCCTGRAAGTTTRTTTTTATCCATATACTGCATTTCCTTCTGGTATTTTTTGCTGTTAGATGTTTCTTTGTATTCTATGGAAATATCAGGTGATTCACAACACACAGTTCTTTCCACAGCTGACTCAGGGTATGCAAAGTAATCTAGAAAAAAAAAATTGTATGTTAACTCCAAGTCTGAGCTATTCAAACTACTTGGTTGCCTTTTGCAAGTGTATCAATCTGTCATTACTGAATTCATTAAAAAATGGCTGTTGCAGTTTTATAATACTATTTTTGCCTTTTTTTTTTTGGGGTGTGTAGAAGACAAATAGGACCTGTAGAAGCAAACTCAGTAARGAAGAGATAAAACACAGAAGACTGGAGAATGAAATCAAGAAACTTAATAAATTTGGACCTATGTGGCTTTTGACCATGACTCAACACTATTCCAGATTGTGGGATTTCTAACTGRTAAGTAACAACTATACAGAAATATCATTTATTTAGAAGAATAAATAGTGATAAATAGAGGAATAGAGTGATAGATTGTACTATAGCAACGTGTCTGTGTCTGTGGAAGTATTTCTTTCTAGTTTTATTCCACTGTGAATCACAATGATTTGGCTCAGTTTCACAAAACAGGATCCATCCCCCTGCCTCTCTGGAGGTCCCTCAGAGTAACTCAGGGTAAGGGYTCTGTACCTGTCTGCACCGCTGTGTCCTTCCGAGGAGAGGTCTGCAGCTCAGGGGGGCTCTTAGCACCATCRTGGAAATGATTACTTTGTGCTGAAATGCCAGAATTACCATTTTCAAACTGTGTATCACCTGAAAAGTGGTAAAATTGTTCCATTTAGTAACCTGATGCAATTTAAACCATGCTACAGAGTTATCAGACAGTTATGGTTTAAAGCTGAAAGCAGTACTGACAACTCTGGTCCAAATCTCAATAGCCACCCTTTTCCAATGGAAACCTAAATGACAGCACACAGGTGTGAATAGTCCTGTGCATTCCTGCCAATATCTTTATATTTCTTCTTCTATGTAATAGGATATTTGAAACTTACTAAACCACAGTATTTTCCATAGTAGTTAATGCTTATTTTTGTTTGAAAGGTAAATAAATTGTAATGAYATTTGGTTTGTGAAGCAAAGGAGCAATTTCTAGCCCAAATGCAGACAGTGAAACAAAAACCAAAAAAAACCCTCCCAACCCCAAGAACAACTTGCTTTCAAACACCAAAGGAACAGGCAAACTGAGTATGGGAAGACTTGTACTTGCCACCACCAAGATTGTTCTGAAGTTTGGAAATGTCATGGGCCTTCTGAGCCAAGTCTGGAATGTGCTGTTCTTGTTTTGATCTCTTGGCTAATTCCTGAGCTTTCTCCATTGTCTGATAAAGCTCTTTGGCTTTAAGAGTTGCAAGTTCCTTTAAAAAAATAAAAAGGCAAATATGTCATCATTTATTTTCATATATTTTGAGAAAAAAATCAATTGGATTATTTAATCACCATATAATCCTTGAGGTTTACATACATTCTTATTTAGGGAAAATATTTTTTTTTTCAAAACTAAAACTAGTTGAATAAGTGCAATATGTAACCAATAAATTCTATGATTATAGAGAAAAATTCAGAACCTCTGCTGTACTAATGAAAGATGTTCAATTCTAGCACTAGAAAATGAGCGTTTAGATTCTCCAAGTTATCTGTGTATTCATTTCCTTTCTCATAAATTCRTATTTTTCCATTTGCAGTTGGGAAGAACAACTGGTGCTGTAACATGTTTGGAAGGAGCTGAGCAATTACAGAGAAGGATGACTTTGCCCATTTATGTTGTACCAGTCTGTCCAAGCATCTAAAGGCAGCTGCTACACAWTTCCACCCAGAAAATGCAGAGRAATCAGGGATCCACATTKCTGCAGGTTTTGGAGATTCTTTTTGGAATCACCTTGTGTTATGACACCATGGAATCTGCTACTGTTCCAAAGAGGAAGCAAACAGTAATAGCTACTACTGTGCCAAAAGGAAGAATCAAACATCAGAYCAAGTATTTAACCTTCCACAGAAGTAAGAACAGACATAAATACAAGATCTGTACTTACYAAAGGTCAAAATGTACTTTTGGTTTAACTTTTATATGAAAGCACTATGTAAAGCTCAGCAATAGCTACACAKGGGAGAGCTGTAGAGATTGAATGGTTTTTAAAATGACTTTTCCAGACTATATCCTAAGTCCTAAATTCAGACTGAAAGCATTTTCACTCAGATGAACTTCATGGTACTGAAGCACCTCAAAAGCATCAAATTATCAATAACAATAATTGGATCACACACTCTGAGGCATTTCAAAATTTTAAATTTGCATCTTAAAAATTGCCGTTTCTGCACTATTTAAAACTAYATTTCTATTTTTGCCAGTTCTTATTGTTTCTCTTCCTGAAAAGGCCCTTATTCAAAAAAAGAACCTGGCCTTATACTTGTATGGTATTTTAAGTTTATTARTTGAGAAAGATTTTGGTTTCCAATGTCAATATTTTTGACAGTTTTCATTTTTAAAATGATGAGGTGACACGATTTTGCAGGCRAGGAACATGAACCATTTTTCTCAAAATTCAGTATTATTACTGACTATCTGCATTAAGGATAATGCAACCCCACCTCCTTTTGTTTTTGTTTCAGCATTTCTTCTTCAAACTGTTTCTGCAGTTGTGCTTTTTCTCGTGCCAGGCGCAGCTCTTCCTGTTGCTCCTCCCRTTTTCTCTGCTCTTCCTCCAATTGTTTCTTCTTTCGTTTCTCTTCCACCTGAGCCATGATTGCTTTCTGGCAGGATCAGAAAAAACAGGCAAAGTAGAAGATAAAACATTAAGATATTGTAGGGTATTTGTTTGTATATTTTCATATAGGTGTAGAATTGGATTTGGACAACTGGAAAAAAAATCAAGGCAATTTATTTCAAACATTTCTGATTTTGTTTTTGTAAAATCACCAGTTGAGCAGTCTGAAATACTCAGAAAAAAGGAGCTTTTTATGTTTYAGAAAATGCTTTTCTTTTCTTGTAAAGAGATGAAGGTCTGATCTTCACYTTATGCACTTACTGTAATCCAGGAGTTTGATCCAGCAGAGTAACAGTTTGACCAGAACAATCTCTTTACATTTACACTGAACCTTCTTTACACTGTGCTAGAGACACCAGCATGCAGATATACCTTGTTAGTGCCATAGAGGTTATGTAAATGTCAGTAAAGTGGTTAATAAAACTAAAGATTCATGGAGTGGGAATCTGTAAATATCAGTCCTCCTTGTAACAGTGGAGACTGAAGGGAAATGCACACAAATCTGTCAGAGCTCTGAAGRCTGAACAGTACATTTTTKGAGGCAGGGATTCAGTTACAGAAGTGCAATAATCTTGTGCAAATATTGAAAGAGAATTGTAGAGTCTGACTGGAGGAAACACTGCCAAACAATGTACATGTCATCTATGGCATAAAAGTCAAGTGCCTCCCTGGATTCTGGTATTAAATCTCATGCTTTATTCATGAGACAGCATCTTTCATCCTTTCTTCTTGTTAAAAAAGTGTGAGGCTTTAAAACCAAAGTCTACCTGATGTTCCAACTGCTTCTGCCGCCTCCTGTCCCTCTCCTCAATCTGTGCAGGGTCCAGCAGAGCTGTCATGGAACGGAGAAAACTGTGAACAAAGGGACATGTAAATGTTCTTAATAATTAGAAAATAATCCCCAAGTCTTTCTTAATTAGAATCAGTTAGATTTCATTTTCATRCTGAGGTTATCTTATTGTATTAATTATAAATAAATACCTATATCACAACCTATGGAATTCCTTTTATTAAGGAACAAAGTAAGGATATTTGCAGTATGTTTCATTAATGAACAATATAATCACTTATGTCTTTTAGCAGTGAAACAGCAAGTATTTGAAAAAAGCAAAAGCCAAATGAATAAGMTCCAAAGATCAGACTAAAAGAATCTTATTCAATTTCTTTTTTTAATTTTAATTTCTGAGAAGGTATCAGAAATGTACTGGCTGGGACAATAATTATCCTCACAAAGTTCACTCACCGGACTCTTTGACTCTGTTCCAAAGCACCATTTTTAGCAACTTTTTCTGCAGTTCCCATCTGTAAGGGCATGRGGTTGCCTAAAGCTGCAGGTGACAAAGGGTGAACAGAAGCAGTCAGATCCTTGGGGTCAGGTGACAGGTAGAGACTTTCAGGCTGCTTTCTGTGCATTCCATTGAAAGGGTGTTGTGCATTAGCATTAAGGTGGCTCTTAAAAGAATCAAAATGCATTGCCCATCTGTCATGCTCTTCTGCCTAAATAAGGATCAAGCAACAAAAAAAAAAAAAAAAAAAAAAAAAAAAAAAAAAGAGAAAAAGCATTCAATTACACTGTTTCTATAAAGACAACACAGTTTGTACAACAGGAAAATTTGAAAAGCTACAATAGAGACAGCAGGTAATTCCTAGAATGAGAAAATGATAAGACAAGTGTCTTTGTTGCTTGAAGTGTAAGACAGATCACAAATTATAATGSTGATCCACAGCTGATCAGAACAAACCTACTGCTACTGTGTTTTCAGGGGAAAAAAAGAAAAAGTCATTCCCTGGTACATGCAGCCCTTCTCCCACAGCACACCTACCCAATTAACAAAGMAGCTAATGAAGGAACCTTTCCCAGCTGTGTTCCCTTCACAGKRAAAAAACTCATTTTACAAAGGAAGMCTGATCCCTCCAACAACTCAGGAAAAGACAAGATTTGAGTGTAGGTCTGTAACCACCCCTAGCAGCAAGGCTTTCTTTGGGGGTTAAAAAAAGGTAAGGCTGTTTTCTTCAATACTTTCTGGAGAAGTGCTTGCTTTTTAACTTTAAAAAAAGTTTCATGAATATGTATTAAAATATTTATAGAAACATGATTTAAGCATCACTATGACACACAGTCCTTGTTTTCTCCTTTCTCATCCCCTGTATCCTACACAAWTTTTCTTTTTCCAAAGTGTCTAGCCATGGTCTCTACACCACCTTGCAAACCAAAGTGCTTTGACACATGGTGGAAAAAAGAAAATATAGCAATACCTCTCCATTCCTGCAGCAAACACTCTTACCAGACACTGAAACACTAAACAGCCACTGGCTGAATGTTCAGTAAGTCCATTCTGATGGTGAAAACCTGACATATAGCAGCAAATTCCATCTTGTTGCTACCTCATTAATTACATCTTTTATTTCTTAAAACAGTAGAGAAAGATTTCTCTTATTTCAAAAAGTCCTTCTAAACAACAGATACCTTTGAGAAATTTAGTTTTTCTTCTATTTTTCGTAGTCTAGCTTCTTCCTTCTGCTTGTCCAACTCTTCAAGCCACTTCTTCTGTTGCTCATGTTTCAAAGCAGTAAAAGGTCGTTCCTGTGGCACAGCTTCCTGAAATAGGACAAGTGCTAGTTCTTGTACAAAAAATAAAGTATCTTGTCTAGCCACAAAATAAAGACTTGGMAGAAAGCTCTGCCTTCAGTTGGTGAGCATAACTGGGCCTCCCTCTAGCACAAAAAGAAGTAAATTTGTAACTGTACCAAGTGCCTGACCGCCAATAGAAAGATGAATTCTCTGAATATTACTCTAAMTTGAACCATCAGCCTCTTAGATGAATCATGAACAGAAATCCCTTTTTCTTCCTGTGGTTCACTGCTCAGTCTGTGGTGCTGAATCTACCTGGAACACAATCTAATTAGCAGTAATCTGTCTCAAATTAAGTAGTTATCATCTTCATTCTTTTGTTTCTGCTTCTTAATGGATGTCTGAATCATTTAACAATCCAGTGGCACTGAGAACTTTCAATGCCATCTGACAAAAAGCCATCTTCAATCACTGCCTACCAGCCATAACTCAAAACCTACTTCTTGAAACTTCTGCCATCMGTATCTTTTATTTTATAGAGGTTCCCAGTTCTCTATTTCTTCAATACATACTTAAAAACTAATTAATACTGCATGTCACACCTCTAGTACTGTTCTTCATGTCAGCCTTTGAAGTGCTGTTTTCAAGGCATTGATATTTTGGTAAACATTCATTCAGACACAATTATTTAGACAGAGCAAAAAGATCTAATGAATTCTTCTGGTTTAAAAGAACTATTGCAGACAAACATTTGTTGTTAATAAATAAGTAAAAAAACCCTGCATGCAATTAAAGATCTTACCCTGAAAACCAATGCTGTGCAACTGCCAGCTGGGAAGTCAGAAGAACTGAAATCTGAAGACTGCTCAGCTGGAGCTCTTGGAACATTCAGTGCAACTCCATCAGCCTCTGTGGCTAAAGCAGCTGCACAGGCACAGTTCTCCTCAGTGCYATTAACTGCATCAGCTGCAAACACTGACTGCAAATAAAGTGACCATATTAACTCTTACTCAGTTCAYCTGTTTTGTTTGTTAACAAAATTACACTTCTTCTACACACAATAAGCTACTGTTCATTAAAACTTCAGCCCAAACTTGTAACTAAGCATCTTTTATCCAGTATTTCTCAATTATGTATATTGAACCAAAATCTTATGGGGCAGAGTCAGAACTTTGCTAGGAATGCTGAATATGCCATAAAAAAGTTCAATTTGCTTTTGCTGTAAGAACTGATAGCAGATACAACCCTAACTTCTGTTTAACAGCAACAAATTTCATTGAAGAAATCTCTTGTGAGTCTATTTGTCTAACACACTGTTTTTAGAATGATAGCTGACTTTTAAAAAAGCTGGAAGTCATATTGCTATGCTCATTATGTAATCCATCAAATATATGTGAGAGCTCATGAACAATGTATATAATTATATAACCAGGAATTATGTTTGAGACTATTCCTCAAAATAGAACAAGAAAAGATTTTTACTTTTCAGTCAGGAATCAAAATGGAAGGACAGGAATGGGTTGTTCCTGCTACAAAGATCTTAGSCTGAGAAGCAACAAAGTGTGGACCAGGGAGCTGCAGCAATTCATGCCCTGGGAGAGCTGAAAGCACCACTGATACTGGATTCTAAGGGGTTTGCACAGAAAAGAGAATCTTTTACGAATCAGAACTTAAATTCTTCTGCAGCAGTGCAGAAACTGTGCTCTTGTATTTAGTGACAGCCTCACCTGGTCTGGGTCAGGCGTTTCCACTTTACGGGTTTTGTTATTGCCAAGTTTTGCCCAGAAATGACCAACCTCTCCCTCCAAAGTTTCTTTCAGTTTCTTCTTCAGTGCTACCTGTTCATCTTAAAAAAAAAACAAACAAAACCAAACTCTAGTAGGAGTTGCTAATACAAGCCTTTCACAGTTAAAAAAAACAGAATGAGAGCGTAACTTAGTTATTTTTCAATTGGTAGCAACTGCACTAAGTAAATTTTTAAAAATAGGGAATATCAAGTTTCTTAGTATCTTGAATGTAAAAAAAAAAAAAATTATACATCATAAATACCTAATTCTTTCTTCCATTGGGTCTTTTTAAATTCCAGTAAGGCTTTCTCCCCTTCTCTTTCACCCAAGGTACTAAACATGTCAGCAGGCTTCCACGAAGCCTTTCTAGAGAAAAGCAGGGAAAGGAAGAATTATATCTAGAAAGCTGATCTGTTCATTTTAAAGGTAAATTTTAAATTAGTATTTATAAACAGTATCAATGCTATTGAGAACATAYGGTGTGAACCTTTATTGGAGACACAATTTTTGTAGACAATGACACAAATGTACATACATAACTTTCTCTCCCAGCTGTGGATGCGCTTCTTGTTTCCTGTTTGAATCAGAGTTTGCTTCATCTGGAACTGGGGACACTTCACAATCTTTCTGGAGTGATACTGTAACRTTTTCCTCTGATGCCTCATTAGTAGCTGTRGTAGAACAYAAATATATATAAATGTACATATAACCACTCCCTTCAGCTTTGAGTAAATACTTTGAGAGCAGCAGAAACTTGTGGATTCCCCACAATTTAATGCAAATGTTTTCAGCCCCACTTATATAGCTATGGCACTTAAGTTAGACCTTGACAGGGTACTTTTAAAATGCTAGACTTACTAACAACTTATTCTTGGCAAGGGGCTCAGAATTTGGGATTCTTCTTAATTACAGGATGTCTTATTCTTGGTGCAAAGAGCTGACCCCCTCCACAGATGCAACGATGGGACGAAGGATGCAATGAAGGAAGATAAGCAACAGTTCTCTTTTTTTTTTTCCCCCAATGTAAAATGTCTCTTATTTTGCATGAAACTGTGACCAAGTTTTCTGCTGGTGTGCTCTTCAGAGTACTGGAAATCAATCATTTTTATTGTTATAATTACAAAATGTTTGGTAATTATTGGTAACAGACAATTTTACATTCATAAAGGCAAACAGTATTTTGCCTSAGACCATCCAACRTAAGMCTAACATCTCTGTAACWTGYAAATAAACTTAAATTATCCACWCAAAGTTAARCTTTCACATTTTGCTCTGTTTCCAWGAAGCAAATGTATCCAATGACCAGTATCTTACCCATTTCCTCTTGCTYTTCATTATGAGTCTCAGAGATGCTTCTTCCTTCTTTAACAATCATCAGAATCTGTTGAAGCTGTTCTTGTGTTAAACACACCAAACTTTTGAAGTCTTCAGCTGATACATGTGGGGTTTGAGGTTTCTGTTTGTTTTTTTTCACAATATTAGGATCCTCTGAATCRGGATATCTGTTTGTCTTATCTCTTTGGAAAATCAAAGAGTGACCTTTAGCTGTGGCTTCATGTGAGGAGTGTTTATTAATTTGCAGTTTTTCACCTTTTGTCATTGATAAGCTTGATTCACTCCTTGGTTTTGTAAAATTTTCCTGCTTGATACAAGCATTTTGTGTTGGCCTCAAGATGAGCCCTGTGTGCTTTATTCTCAATGCATGTTTAGGTGCTCTGGCTTTATTACCCATCTGTTAAAAGAGCAAAAAGATTTCATATCTCTTAAATAAGGAAATAAAATTGTATTAGTAACAAGTGAAAACAAGACTGAAACAAAAAGGAAAATAAGTTTTATTTTTCTGTTCTATCAGTAGAAACTAACTCTGTATAAGCTTATGAAATATATTAATGAATACCAGGAATACACTGGAGAAGAACACTGCATCTATATTTGAGTATTTCAAAATGACAKTATGAATAGTAACTTTATGCAGCCTGACATTTAAAATAACTAATACACATCAAGTTTGCTTTACTTTGGTGCTTCTAAAGCCAGGCTTCATACAAGTATATGCAGCCAGCAATATTTCAACCCTGGTATTTCCACTGTATTAAAGATTTTTATCCTTTCCAAGGTCCTTGGTGTACACTTGTAATTATTTCCTGTGTATTGGGACCTTTTTCTGCTTTTTCTCCTTCCCAAGCCCACTGCATTCCAGTTTACTCAGGGACAACCTATATGACCAAACTTGAAATTAAACACAGTTCAAATCTSTATTTTACCAGAATTCCTTTAACGTCTCTGAAAGTTCTGATTTAGGTGATTCCCTCTGCTGCTCTAACTTCTTGGTCAAGGAAACTAAAGGTTTTGAAAAGGTAAAAATAGTCTGAGAACTTTGAWTTCATCCTTTTGAACAGGTATTTATAAACCTGAGAAATAACAAATATCTCAAGTTAGAAGGRACCCATAAGCACATATTTCTYTCTAATAAATATAATTGAWTACAAGTATTTAAACTGTTCAATGAGTTCTCAAATTTTCTGTTAACAAATAGTAAACTTGTGTGTTCTAAAAATTTTTCCACTCACCTTCATGGCAGGCTTTGATTTATCTTTTGGGAAACAAACACAAACATATGAAAGATGTATTCAATAACAACTTGCTCCTGAAAAACAATCTTGAGAAATGAGTAAACTGTTACATTAATTTTTTTAAGTCAGTTAGAAAGCACTTTCCCCATACCATATCTGCTCTGATTATTTTACTTTTGCAACTTATTTCAGTATAGACACTTCAAAAGTACATTGGAAAAAAATTTAGATATATTTCAATAATTATTTCCATTTTTATACACATCTAATCAAGTTACTGTGCCAGTCTGACCTTCCCCTGCTATTCACTGTTTCTCAGAGAACTCTGGAGAGCTGTTCTTAAAGTCTGCAAAACCACACTGTGGATGGCTTCCACCCTAGATGAACATTTTAAAATTTGGGAGTATGCTGAGTTGTTGTGCTGTAGAGACAGGCATTAAATCCTGGACCATCTYGGAAATGTTTGAGTAGTAAAGATGTTCTGTGTTCATCACTGGGATYTCAGGCATTCAATCCTCATCCAAGTAGGCAAAAGTCACTCTGACTTTTTTTTCTGGCTGTTCAGACCTAAGTACAGGGAGATTCTCTGCACTATGCAAACCCAACTTCTCCATAGAAAGAAGAAACATAAATAGGGTCTTCTCCAAAACAGTGGGGAGATACAGAATTGGAACTCCAAAGTGCTGCTTATAGGTTATTTTCTTTGATTTTTTTTTTCTGCATAAGAGAGAACATCTCCAGTAGCAGCTTAAGCTACTGCAGAATAATCCTACTTTAGCCCCTAAGAATGTAAGCAGTGTTTTTCGGTGCAAAAACCAAAATTCGGAACAAATACAGTTTGGTGCAAATTTTGACACCATTCAATTTGAGGAAGTGCTCTTCGTATCACTGTATAAACAAGTTAATTCTGGAAAAAGACTGCTTGTTCAAGGCTACTTCAGAGTCAAGGCAATGCTTTATCTCGGAGCACTCTGGAACACACAGGCCCTACCCAGCCCAAGATGCTAAGGGTGGCTGTAAAGAGCACAGGAATTCCTTCCTGGCTCAAAACACCACATCATGCCTCATTAGGTAGYTGTCTGGTAAATGCAGAAAATTAAATAAAATTTAAAGAGCATTTAATGGAGAATTTCTGTATCCTATATAGAACAGTTAGAAAAAGTAAACTTGTACAGAAATGTACCTCTGACAAATCACAAAAATGAAATTTATTATAGAGATATATGTCTGACAAATCACAGAAATAGAATTTATTAACACTAAATTACCAATATAGATTTTCCCAGTATATCTCAGATGGTAGTAGTTAAATTTGGCCTAAATAAACTGTTCATTKAAAATTTAAAATGTTAATTACAAATACTGAAGTTACTTTAAAGTAAAATCTGACTGTAATGATCAACGTTTGGTAAATTAAGCAGAGTTATTACGCCTGTTCTTCCCTGGCAAGTAATGTGCTATAAAGTGACAGAAATTATCAAGCTATGCCACTTGATACACAATAGCACCTCACTTTTTTTTTTTAAATTACAAACTGAGGAGCAGAGACTATTTGCCAGCTGTTCCCCTGTGGACCGACTATTCAGAGCTTCATTATCAACCTACTGTTCAGAATGGAGTTGGTGACAGAGGGAACTTTTAAATAACAATGCACAAACATTCTTCCTAATCTGAAAAATATTTCAGGAAAGCTGGGCTTCATGTTGCTTGGATATTAGGTTTAACTTCAAGAAGCTTTAAAGATTACTTGAGATAAATGATTAAAAAAATACCAGAAGCAGCTAAAATTAGCCTAGGCTTTCCATCCAGCACTTCAGTTTCGAGCTTCAGTCCATCACTGCAAAAKGAGAGATAAAGAGGAATCTGAACTATTAAGTAATCTGATAATGGTAAGATTTTTACATTAATAACAATCATACTTAATTACAACRTAGTATTTACTGTTGTTCCAGATGGTCTTTCACATCCCATGTTTTAAGAAGTTACTTAAAACAAAGAAATCAACACGTCTCAAAGGATAATGAAAAAAGGAAATTCTATTATTGATACTGAAAAAATCTGGATTTGCATGTTGCAAAGTAGATCTTTGACACTAAAGGTGCTACTCAATATTGCAATTCAGAGCAATATGCTTCAGGAATTTAATAACCCCACAATATGAACAGTGTGCTGCAAAAATCGCTAAACCAGTCTCTCGGAATGCCGGCGCTGATCACAAAGAGGGGCTGTATTCTGGACACAGCCTTTAGTTGTGCTTCCATGCACAACAATCCACCTCTGGAAGTGGAACAAGCGCTATTATGTGCGTTYACGAGAAGAGAAAAACGTGGCAGTGTAAGGTACCCAAACGCCTTTTTTTCTTCCGTGCGCTGGGACAATCCAATATTAAGTGCTCAAAATAACACTTCCAGCTTTCGTGGAAAAAAAAAAACCCGTTAGAAATGAAAAAACCCGGCGCAGCTCAGCTCGCACGCAGCTTTCTAAGGGCACCTCAGAAAGGGACACTGCAATAAGCGGAGCCGCCGCCGGCCCGCGGCCGCTTTGTGCTGCAGGCGGCGGGGACGGCGGGACGCGGAGGGTGCGCGCTGTCCCGAGCATCCCACCCCCTCCACCGCTGCCCACAGCCCGCCCCGAGGCCCTCCCACCAAGGGTCAGCAGCCGCGGCTCTGTCCCGCAATCGCTCCCGGTGTCTCGCCCGTGCGGCACTGCGCGTCCTGGCGCGGCACCGACGCGTTCCGCGGGGTGGGGGCCGTCCCTCCCAGGAGAGCCGCGTCCCGCGGGGAGCCGTGTCCCGCTGCCCGCCCGCCCGGCCGGCCCCGCTCGCCCCTTAGCCCAGGTTCACGGTGCTGCCCGGCCCCGCTCGCCCCTTAGCCCAGGTTCACGGTGCTGCCCGGCCCCGCTCGCCCCTTACCCCAGGTTCACGGCGCTGCCCGGCCCCGCTCGCCCCTTACCCCAGGTTCATGGTGCTGCCCGGCCCCGCTCGCCCCTTACCCCAGGTTCATGGTGCTGCCCGGCCCCGCTCGCCCCTTACCCCAGGTTCATGGTGCTGCCCGCCGGCCGCGGAGCCGCGCGGAGCCCCGCGCATCGCCCGCCCTCAGCCCCGCGCCCGCTCAAGGAGCCGTGCGCCGATTGGCTGCCTGCGGGCGAGTCTCCGCCAATGGGTGCCTGCAGCACTGCGGGGTGGCGCGGCCGGGAACGCTGGGAGATGGAGTCCCACAGATCCCCCTGGACCGGGAGCGCTGGGGATGGAGTCCCGAGGGAGCCCCGCACATCCTCTTGGACCGGGAGCGCTGGGGATGGAGTCCCGAGGGAGCCCCGCACATCCCCTTGGACCGGCAGCGCTGGGGATGGAGTCCCGAGGGAGCCCCGCACATCCTCTTGGACCGGGAGCGCTGGGGATGGAGTCCCGAGGGAGCCCCGCCCATCCCCCTGGACCGGGAGCGCTGGGGATGGAGTCCCGAGGGAGTTCCGCACATCCCCCTGGACCGGGAGCGCTGGGGATGGAGTCCTGTCCCCTCATCCCAGGGCAGTTCCTCACATCCCCGTAGCCGGACGCTCCGGGGGATGGAGTCCTCCCCAGTCCCAAGGGATGGAGTCCCGCACACCCCGTCCCGGGGATGATGTCCCGCACGGTCTGGTCCAGGGGAATGGGATCTGGCAGCACCGCCGAGAGTGCGAAGCCATTGCCGGGCGATTATCCCCAGCCACRAGCAGCAGCGGAGGACGGAGGGGAACGAGGGGCGGCGGGGGAGTGAGGATGGGTGTGGGGAGAGCCTGAGCCAGCCGCGCTGTGCTGGAGGGCGGCGGCTGCTCTCTCGCATTTCTATTTATTTATTATTTATTTATTTACTTGCTGACACGGTTTGGGCAGAGCGGACAAGGTAGGAGAGGGGCGRGAGGCTGACGGTGCGGGCCGGGCCGGCGCTGTCGGGTGTCCCGGCACTGCGCGGGGAGCAGCGGCCGCACAGCCCCGTCCGGAGAGGCGAGAGCGGAGCCGGGAAGAGCCGGGACCCTGCTCGGGGCTGGGACCGGGGCTGGGCGGGAGCGGAGGGCGGGGAGTGCCCCGGGGGCAGCGGGAGCCGTGTCCCTGCAGGACCCGTGCCGTGCCGTGTTCCCGGGGCTGTGCGGGACCGGCCGTGCTGCGCTGCCGGGCGCTCTCTGCATCACGCCGCTGCCCAGCTGGGCGAGCCCTTGGCGGTCTCCACTGGCTTGGTGCTTTCCCAGCCCGTGCTCCTGGTTTGGGATGCTCCCGAAGCGTTTTAGGAGCTGTAGATTGAGCGCTGCTGTTGTGTGAGGACAGCTTGCGGAATAACGGGACCCGCGAAGCTGAAAATTAAATGAGTCAACGTTTTGCAGAGGAGGGTTTGGTAGTGTTAAGGAGTATAGTTAAATTCAATGAAATGCTTCAGGGCCCGTTTAGTTATTTTACTATTCAAGATGACATTTAGGCTTATGCTTAAGGCCAAATGCTTACTGAATTCCATTATTTCAGAGGAGGTTAAGACCTCGAGATCTGTGTGGAATAGTGTTGCTTCTAGAGATGTGGTTAATTCTGTGTAACCAAAGGCACCAAAGATAGAGGGGAAGATCCACTGGTGTATTCTCCAGGTGACAGCAAGAGCAATGCTGCCCTTGGGAGTTTGCACAGGAAACTAAGTGATAATAGAGAAATAGAGAGTGAGGTGGAGTTTATTGTGTGCACAAAATCTCTGAACTGCTCTGTATTTCCATAAAATTATCAGTCATCGGACAAAATTGTTACTTTTTTTTTTCCTGCAAATATTGCTTTGCAGCTTATTGTTTGGTATTTATCTACGCCTCAGCGAAGAAGTCTTTGAAACTTTCATTTARGGACTACAATAAGGGAAGAAAAGAAAAGAAAGCCTGGAGTTTTTCTCAATAGTGCACTGCATATGAAGTCCTGTGAAGYAGAGAACATACAAGATGGGTGATAAGGGCAGTGAGATTTCATCCCCTGCTTCACAATGGATTACATAAATGAATAGATTTCCATTATACTTRCAGAATTTAAAATTATGTAGCTAACCAGACGTGGCTCCTGCTTTTTGTCAGAAACAGCAGGTGGCAATATAATTTCAAGCATCTCTTCAAAACTTTGTCATAGAGAAAATCACCTTGTAAGGACTATAAAACAAATTTCACAGTCCATTTGGATTTATTTTAATATTTTGTAAATTATCAGTGTTTTACTAGGAAAGTGATATGTTCTGTCAAAAAACTGACATTAGTTGGTGGTTTCACAACTTAGGGAAAAACAGTATTGTTGTGTTCTTTGTAGACAAGTTGAGACTATCTGCAAAACCTGTCCTGCATAAATGGAACTGAATCTTTCAAAACTGGCAAGTCTTTCAGGCATTTGCTAAAGTACTACAGAAATTAAAATTATTTGGGCAAGTAAGCAGATTAAGCAGATTATAACTTGTGTAAAAAGACTTCCTACATGGTAAAAAACTTATTGATTCCTTTAATGCAGACTTGGCTTTATATCATCACAAAGGCCAGATAACTTTTTTGCTTTCAAACTCTCCTGGAAATGTAGTGTGTCATTCCCACATTAAGAGACAGAAGTTGAAAAAAAYCCAAAGTCCCTTAACAGAGCTGGAGTTTCACAAGGAGTCCCTGTGGAATGTTGCATATTGGAGAAGGATGGTATCAAAGTACTTATTTATGTGAAATGGAAAGGAGAATTACTCAGTCCCTCAGCAGGCCAGTTAGCTGTCTTGCTCTGAGGGGATATTGTGCACTAATGCAGATAGTAAAAATTTTAAGGCAGCCATATTTTCTTAAGTGGACATGGAAATCTTATCTACATGCTGTAATTCAAAATGTTTTTTGAAAACCAGCAAAGGAGTCTTTGAAGATAAAGCCTGTTCCAATACACATTTTAAAAATACTTCTGCTTTTTTTTTTCATACTTCAGTATTTGTTACTATTTTAAATCGTTGGAACCTTTAAGCTTTAACACAACTGTTTTATTTAAAGAGTTTTAACATAGTTGCCCAGGTAGTAAAACWCCAGCCTAAGGCTGTGGTTTTATCTTCCCTGTATCTTTTCACAAGACATGAAATTAGTTATCTCAAACTGACATATATTTTTGTAATATGTGGCTGCAGAATCTACAYTTTATCTTTAGRCATTTTGGTATTTTGGACTGGATAYTTTAACCACTCATTCCAGACTCTGTGGATAATATAYCTATTCATGACAATAAGTCTGATTGCATGGACTCTATTCTAACTTGTCATGCTTCCCTATWATAATTACCTTCAATAGTTTTATTTACTGATTCTTTGCAGAATTTCATGTGGATATTGGAATCCAACATAATGGGCAGTATAGGAGTTGAAATGAAATATCTGGAGTAATCTAAACATTACGTTTCCTTCACTGCCTGTCCAAAAAATTTAATTAAAGTGCTTATGCCTTTGGAAAGGAGAATAGAGGAGATAATACTTATTTCAATAATGCAAGGACCATTGGACTGCTTGCAGAAAAAGCATTACCAGGCTCTACTTCATTTCCTGATAATCACCAGCACTCCTAAGTCCTTTATTTGTCATTCTAGAGGGCTGAATAAAAAATGCTTTCAGTCTACATGCATCTCTCCTAAGGATCATGAAACACCATACAAGCACTTCAATCACTCATTAATTAAACTTTCTAATACAAGCAAGGTAAGAGGGTGAGATTTCAGTGGGAGGTAGGTGTTATGAAAGCCCCATCAAGTGTCTATCTTGATCTCCAGACACATAAATACTATTAATATCTGGTCTTAATTGACTAAGAGAACAAGTCACATTGATTTTTCAATCACTTACACACTCATGAGAACCCCACTCAGAAGTGTTGTACTTGTTTTCCAGGTGGATAAATGGATTGGCACAGTGATTAAATTCAACACTGTTAGTGATGCCTTGTGGCAGCTGGAACAACAGGGGTTTGGCCYGGAATTCAGTTTGCAAATGTATTTACAACACAAATGCACCTGAGAGGGTCCCCCAAGAATGCATTTCTTTGGGGCTTGCATATGGAATGCAGCCAGGTTTGTATTTGGCATTGCTGCTGTATGGGCAAGTGTTTTAAAATAATTGAATATACTGCTGGTGTGGTCTGAGTACATTAATTTCTGGGTTTTAACTCAATTTTGGAGGAAGGGATCCCCAAATCTTTTCAGAATAATGTGACTTTCTTAGAAAGTGTCTCCTTATCCCCTACAGGGATGGGCAGCAATCATTATCCCTCCTCTTATCACTTGGGTGTAGTTTCTGTGGCACACCCAGCCATGGCAGTAAAGTAAATCAGGAATTTCCTTAAGGTTTCAAATTCATACGTAGCTTTCAGGGCTTCTGCAKTTAAATGGGAAACCTAAACAGTTCTGGCATTGCTTCCAATACATTTTAGGTGATGCAAATGGAAGTTTTTAGACTTCTTTCCTTGATTGCTTCCTGCAAAAGCAACACGATGAAAAGTAACTATCAACTGAATGCAATCAAATGCCAGCATGAGATGGTGTTAATCTTTAGCCAGCACACACTTGATGATTAGTGGAATGRATGTGTGATCTGTGTGCCAAATAAACTGAATGTTAAAATAAAAAAGAAATCTTTCTTTAAAGAAAATAATTTCTTTTTGATACTCCACTTGATACAGGACTACATGTTCTAATTCTAAACCATAGTTTCAAACAGGAGCTTATGTGATGCCCATAAATTAGACTTTATATTTGATGTCATAAATTACTACATACTGAGAAGTTTTTAAATACTAGAATATTTCTAAAATATATTCCTCTGTAGCAGAGGAATTCAGTTYCTGAAATTTGCCTTTGTGGCCAAGAAATGTGCAGGCCATACATATCATACTTTTGTGCTCAGTTTGGGGTTTTGCACATTTCCTTCTTTCATAYGGATGGATTTAAATGATAATTATGCTTGAATTTGTCTACATGGGCACTGGGTTTGCATAACCCCTTCTGTGGAAGATTAATACTTTTATATTCTGAAATATGCACAGTTTAGACCACCAAGAAGCACAAAAGGAATGTAAAGAAAATGTGTCTTAACTGCATATGTGTTA